TTGCCTAAACACCGCCGGATATAAGCCATCAATCGGAACAAGCGATGACTAAATGCAGTAAAATACTATTGGCTGAAAGAGGCTAGATTGCACCGGTAGTTTTCTGCAAAACCAATGTTATAACGTTTTCAAAGATGGTCATCGTAAGACAATCTATGACAACAATTTGGCAGTCCTAAATAACCCAAACTAAAGCAGGAAACGTTTTGGGGAGTTTCCAACACATCATTTTTATTGGATGATGCTATTTCTCTTTATTTTCATAAGCTCAGATTTAAATTTATGCAAACATACTCATACCATAAGAATTAGAATCATGTTTTAAAAGAGCAATCATTTTCGTATTTCATTCGCAACCCTTTGTAATGTACGAAGTTTGAACACTAAAGTATCTATCTAGATCATCGTGGATTAGAATCATTCATATAACTGTATGAGAATAAATATGAAATTATCAATAGATCGACCGAATTGTCTAATCACAACTGAATTATAGTAGTGATTCACATCAAAGATATTGATAGAATTATTGTAAAGATAAAAGCTTTGTAGAAGAAAATGAATGTAGATTGGTTCATATCTTGTTAATTTGCAGCATCACCGCAAGATGAATCAGGCGAGTTTGTGCGTCATTTTCAAGATGACAACAAAGAGATTCGATGTTAGTTTATTGAGTAATTTGTACATACTTTTGTCTCAGATAATGCACCGTTGTCTGTCTTTGAAAATAAGTGTACAAATTGTTCTTCCTGGAATTTTCACTACAGCAACCATAGGCAGAAGTAGAAAGTGGTTTGGCTATCTAAGTTGATCTAATTTTGTCTATCGATTTCAGAAACTTGACAGTTACTTGTTTGATTAAAGTTACTAAACGTATTCATGCCTTTCATGCCTTGTCACAATCAAGAGATTTTATAGTCGATCGATTTATACTTACCTTATTAATGAATATTTAGTGATGATTTTTATTAATTCTGTCAAATATTACTTTCAGGTGATCATATGCTCACCTCTCTTTCTGTGGCACGGGACTGTGAAATGATTGATGAATTAGATCGAGTTGTTATTGTTACAGCTCGCCCACCACCTCATCCTAGTAATTATTTTACTTCAGACATGTTAAATGAAAATCAGCCAATATCTATGCCAGATACTGGATTTTCTACTGAAACAAATCCAAACCACATTTCAGATCCTACCGATGCAAGAAATGATAAGAATTTCTCAGATGATCTAATCAATTCCCTTGTTCAATTTCACTATGCAGAAGACCTACACAGACCGGTTACTGAAGTCGCAACGACTAACATTCAACTAAAGCGAAATCAAACTAAAACTGACAACGTAGAAACATCGAAAACGTCATTTTTCAAGCGAATAAAAACAAAATTTAATTTTAGTGGGTCACGAAGTTCCTCAAAGGTTTTAGCTGGGTATGTAAATGGTTTAAATTTATTCTGACCACTGAAATTTGTATGTTTCATAAGTGTTCAGTTGCGCAATTTACAATTAGTACTGTTAGTACTCCAAGTATAGTTAGTGTACTTCCTAAGATACATAGTTTTGTGCCTTTCTCAAATAAAGACTTGATCTGACAAATGTTTCTAGTGAAACATTATCCCATTGATTTGATCAGCTGAACTTAATACAAAATGAAGTAATTCATTTAAGTTAACGTTCGTTACTGACACATAATATAGAACTAGATTTCCATTTTATCTATTATCCACCCACATGCAATATTGATTTTTGATGTTTCACCTCAACTATACTGATCCACTACTCCTCAGGAGTCCCATACTTGGTTGAGACGACGATACAGTCTTTTCTGTTTTCCAATGGTTGCCAAATTGTAGTATTTGTCTAATTTGGAACTCAATTTTAGGAAATAACGATAACTGCGAAGTGTTAGAAGGTTTTAACGATTTCCTACAGTGTAGTCCCATATGTTACGACATGTGTTTCTGTTCGAAGCGAGTTGTTTTCAGCTTCCAGAAAATTTGAAATATCTTTCTATTATGGTCATAACAAAAGGTATTTAGTAAAGGATTCATCAACTAAAAAGTTATTGATTATTAACTCTAATTGTTTAGCATAATAACAAAAATAAATTTTTAAAACTGGATGGAATTCCCAAGTTTGAAAAGCGAAGTTAACTGTTGACAGAGTATAACTGCAACTATCAACAAACAATACACTGTTTTACATACAATGAAATTTTAAACGAAAACCACTAATAATATTGTTGAGATTACAGTTGACTATGATTTTCTTTATTGACCACTCATAAAGCAGCTTCTTTCGAATAGAAAAATCATAATGTGTGATATTTTCACATTTGCAATAATACTAACAATCCTCCAAGGCTTTCAGTAAATCAGTTGATCTTATGTCTTTAACTTAATGTTTAACAAACTTAGCTCTCTGTAGAAAAAATTGTACTTAAATGTGATTCTGATGTTTTTGATGTTTACCGTTTTTGTAAACTAAACTGGACCGTTTTTCAAATTTGAAAAAAAAGAAAAACATAAACACACAACTGTATGATTTCACGTTATTTTGTTTATGTGAATCTCATTTGTATCCTGTCTAGGATATTGTATAAAAATGAAACATATTTAGTTCACGTTTCATCACAATCTAAATCTAACTGACTGATGTCGCTCATTTCATTGGTGTTTTCGAAACAATGTTCAAATAAAACTTATCATGTAATTACCTCTAGACAACTATATTTAGTTTATGAATCATTCATCCAGATTGAATAGCTTATCTTTTAACCAGTTAGATCAGATTCAGAAATACTGCAAGCATTAACTTTATTGTTGATCTAAGACAATGTAATATGAATAGGAAGAAAGCTTGTCATGAACTCAGAAGCTACTAACTAATTGATGACTTCATGTTGATAGAATGTGTTAAACGAACAGTGTTAAAGTTGAAGAAACTAGAAATTCTCAAAACATCAATTGAATTTCCACACTATATATTAACATTTAGAGTGAATTAAATGGTGAAAAATAATCGATAACTCACCAGAATGAAATACAAGCATAAACATCGTATTGAGTGTTACTCTGTTCATAATTTACATGATGAAAAATGGAAAATATGTTCACTTCGTTGTCTTCAAACTACTACGACCATGTCAGAAGTCTCTCGAATGGTAGAAATTTTAGTTGTAATTGCTACACTTAATCATACACTTCTGATAAACATTTAATTACCTGATGTTCTGATGTCAACCTGTAGTATATTCATCTTATTGGTGTTGCATTCAACTATCAATTCGAACATCACTGCACATCATTCATCAATAATGAATCATGTCAACAGTCCTTTGATAGTATTTAAATTCATATCAGTCAGCTGCAATGTAGAACTCGGTACCGATGTACAGCAGTTCAAGTTGTCAAACCACAATAGCACAGACAGACAACTGTCAATTCAAATCCCATAGTAGTAAAGGTAGTAGAAGCAGCAGTAGTAATCGGAAAGATTAGGGTTTGAAGATGCTGTTTGAAGACAAGAGGAAGATGAAGGTCATGAGGAATTCAGAATTCAAGAACACAAAGAGTAGATGCACCTGTGCCATTGCAAACGATTTTGAGCCATATCATTCAAGGTTTCTATCCATCGGTTACTATCGTCTCGCTGACCCCAATCAGGTAGTCTACACCTACATTCATATTTATATAGTTTTCCCATGTTACCTGGTATTGAGCATAAATTCAAAAAAGTAAAAGGAAACAGAGTGAATTGATTTGTTTAATATTTTTCTATAAATAAATGGTAGTATATCTTGCTGTTTCTGTGGATAGTGTATCAAAGATGTAAGGTGTTAAAATATAATCCCGTATCTACTTTTCTTCCCATCTAAGCTAACCATAACAGTCTGGTTATTAGCCACTATTTATAAATGCCATCTGAATCAATTTTCATCAAAATGACTGAATCTGGATTTTGTGAAACATATATCTACCTGGAAATAGCCAGTTCACTTGATCTGTCCTATATAAGATTGAGTTAAAGTGAAGTTATTCAAAATAGTGAAATTATACAACACTGGTCTATTATAATTGTAATTCTCCACAAATTAAAAAACGTGATCACTGTAATAACATGATAATTCGCAATGAGTAATTATAACCATACTATAATTTCCTGGTTGGTTGTCGTATATGTTTCTGAGAGAATGATTTTCAAACGTTTGAGAAGAATTGCGTGCCTTTTAAAGTACTCAAATTTATGGCTTCTCGTTTAGGTGATTATTGGTGATGTAGTATTTGGATTTCAAAAACTTAAAATTAAAATAGTCACAGGAATCTGCTTATTCCTAACATAACTGTGTGTGACCTTATTAACTGGTCATCTGAATATGTTACTTGACTTAGTACTTAAGCATTCTTTTTGTATTGAATTTCCGAGTCGCAACATTATTTTATGTTCTTATAAAAAGTACTATGGTAGTTTTAACACGTTCCTCTATTCTGTATTTTATTTATAGCCTATCTGCGCAAAGCAGTGGTGCAATAAACAACATCAGTTCTGAAAACGAAGACAATCACATTGATTTTGAGAAATGTTTGTCCGATAAATTAGACAAACATTTAGATACTTCAAGTAGTTTCCAGCACAGGGATACTGCTGAAAACCGTTATGCTCTCTCTATAAGAATGATTGATAGACCTGATTTCCATCTCGCAATTTCAGGCAAAACATGGTCTGTTATTCAAGAACACTATCCTTGGCTAATACCTAAAGTAAGCTGTTTTTAACATTACATATTACTGTCTTTTGTGCTCTTATTTATTAGAATCTAGTTTCAGTTTTTCGCAACTAACCACAGGTCTCATCTGACACTTGTTCACAATAACTCTACTTTGACGAACCATACCAGTTGCTGACTTGTATGTAGTCTGATAGTTTCGGTAACCAAATTATGATTTGTTGATTTCAGAACTAACCGTCAATTTAAGTGACATTTTATAACAACGATGGAATAAATGTTTCTGACCTGACAACTTTTTTGATTTAAATTTTTATGATCTTGGTAGCAAACATCAAAACTTAGGATGAGGATTGTTTGCTATAAGTTATTAACCACTAATCAACGTGACATGTTTTTATCACCGGTCGATTCACCAAAATAATAGTATATTTGTTTACTTTTAGTTGGTTGTAAAGGGTACAGTGTTTGCTCGTTTCTCGCCAGAACAAAAAGCACAAGTGATTGAAGCTCTCCAGTCAGTTGGTTACTTTGTTTCTATGTGTGGGGATGGTGCAAACGATTGTGGAGCTCTGAAAGTAGCTCATGCTGGGATTTCCTTAAGTGAAGCAGAAGCAAGTATTGCTAGCCCTTTTACATCAAAGAAACAGAATATAAGCTGTGTTCCCATGCTTATAAGAGAGGGTCGTTGTGCTCTTGTAACAAGCTTTGGAACGTTCAAATTTATGGCCGGTTATTCCCTCATCCAATCATTTTCCACGATCATACTTTTCGTGGTAAGTTTAACTACAATTAAAATAGTATATTCTTCTCCCTACTTTGTTCAGCTAAGCTTAAATTTGTATTGCGCACTTGTTATAGTTTATAAATTCCCTTGTACAACTACAATGGAACTATATCTCCCAACTTTTAGTACCGATATCAGAAGATACTTGTATTCGTATTAGGTACTGTACGTTGGATTTGAATCTATCATCTTTTAACAATGATATTTCAAAACTGATTGGTTTTTTTCGTTCATTCACACCTCAGATAATGCAGAAAGTTTTTAAAAGCTTGAGTTGTCATCGTCAATCATGCCGATTTTGTATCGTAGTTATTCATAAAGCGAAATGGCACAAAACTTATTTTTATTAGCTCAATAAGAGTTTACTTTTGTCCATATTATTGTTTCACATTTTAGAACATCCTTTGATACGTCGAAATATGTGGAAGTACAAGTTTAATTTAATTATTATCTGATCATGTTTCTTTTTTGTTTTAGATCGGTAGCAATTTGTCCGAATGGGAATTCCTGTACTGCGATTTTATTATTATAACAACTTTAAGTTTAACATGTGAGTTGTTATTTATTTAACTTTGTGTACTGTAGAACTTTAGTTCCGTTTTACCTATCTACATGAGACATTCTCGATGGACTTAAGTATTTTAAGCTCACTGTTCTGAAGTGATAATTCTGTTAAATTCTCCTTGACCTAAGTGATGAAATCGGTACTAAAAAGATCTATCCGTTCTAGCAAAGACATGACTTTTGCCGTCATGAAAGCACTCTTTCGAAAAATGGAATTAGTTCGTTAGCACTCACGATTTTATTTCAGATATCAACAGTTGAAATCTAAAGTCTGATTTTTTTGAAAAGTTGCTAGAGTTACTGACGTAACTAATCTCATTAGTAATCTTTCTTCAAAATATTTTATAATATTAAACTTCGAACATTGTGGGAGACTGTAAGACTATTCCAAGTTGCTGCAGAAATGAAAAGATACAACCTCCAGGTGCTCGGTATCAGTGGAACGCATTGAACACAGGTAGGAAAACTGAGACTAGCTTCAGGGGAACTGCTGTTATACTCTGGTCATGAAGAGGAAAATGCTTCACATACACAAGGAGTTGCACTGATGCTGTCCAAACAAGCACAAAAGGCACTGATAGGATGAGAATCTCATGGACCCAGGATCATCAAAGCATCCTTCAAAACAAAGAAAGAGGACATTACAATGAACGTCATCCAATGTCATGCACCTACCAACGACCACAATGAAGATTAATTCTACGAAAGGCTGCAGTCAACTGTCGAGAGATGCCCATCAAGGTATTTGGTCATTCTGAAGGGAGACCTAAATGCCAAGGTTGGCATGGACAACACTGGATATGAAGACATCATGGGACAACGTGGACTGGGTGAAAGGAACGAGAACGGTGAGAGATTTGAAAGCCTATGTGCATTCAACAAACTGGTCATTAAATGCAAAATATTCCCACACAAACGCATACACAAAGGTACATGGGTTTCACAGGGTATTTTTAAACAGAATGAAGAGCTTCGTAGACGCTGAACTTCAAGATCAGCAGGCTGGGTTTCGTAAGGATCGATCGTATACCGACCAAATTGCAACATTACCGATTATTGTGGAACAGTCAATTGAATGGAACTCACCACTTTACATCGTCATCACTGACTACGAGAAAGTACTTGGCGGCATTGACAGGACAACACTGTGCAGGATTCTTCGACACTTCGGGTTGCCTGAAAAGATAGTCAAAGTCGTACCGAATTCATACGATGGATTAAACTGCAAAATTGTGCACCGCGGCAGCTGACTGACTCTTTTGGGGTGAAGACTAGTGTCAGGTAAGGTTGCTCGCCCTCACCCTTTCTCATTCTCCGGATGGTCGAATGGATTATGAAAACGGCAACATCTGGGTGGGAGCACGGGATACATTGGACAGCCAGGATGCAGCTGGACGATTTGGACCTCCCCGATGATCTGATTCTTCTATCGCACACGCAACAACAAATGCAAGAGAGGACTACCAGTGTAGCAGCAACAGTTCTCAACATATATCACGGAGAAGGCACGATTCTGCGATACAACACAATATCCGCCAACCAAATCACTTCTGATGGAAATCCCTTGGAGGACATAAAATCCTTTATATATGTGGGCGGCATCACTGACGAGCAAGATTGATCCGATGAAGATCTAAAGGCGCGGATCGGCAAAGCTAGGAGAGCATTTATACAACTGAACAAAGTCTGGAACTCCAAACAACTATCAACCAACACCAAAATCAGAATTTTCATCACAAACGTCAGGACAATACTACTGGATTGGGCATAAATTCAGAGAACTACGAATGCCATCATCCAAAAGATACAAGTATCAAATAACAGTTGTTTAAATAAAATATTTCGAATCCGTTGGCCAGACACCACCAGCAACAACCTACTGTGGGAGAAAACAAACCACATTCCAGCGGAGGAGGAAACCAGAAAGAAGCAGTGAAAGTGAATATGTGTTAGGTTCGTCACTAGATAAACGTGAACATGACAATAAACCAGCGTCTAGGTAGGCTACCCTGATCTGCTGATTAATGAAAGGTGTTGATGTAGCGTAGAAAGTATATTCTACAAACAGCCAGGAAGCACAATGCATTCAAGCACACAAATCTCGTTTATTTATACACCATAGAAACGTCCTTGGGACAGTCACAGAATTAGCACAGTAAAATTCACAGCAGCCAATCACGTCCAAGGATTTTCATGCCGGGAAATGAAATCTCAAGGTCAGATGATCAGCCCATTCTCGCAAACATTAAATCAAAAATAAGGCATTTATCAAGCGAGTTTTGGGGATCTAACGTCCTCAACAATAGGACACACTGCGAAAAGCACCAAACTGCGTCGCAAAACAAACCCTCAACGTCAAAGGAAAAGAGAAACGCTAAGGAACACATTACGCCGAGAAACAGACAAAGATACGGGAAGAATGGACAAAAATCGGGCAGAACTGCAAAAGGAAGCCCCGGACGGAGCTGGTTGCAGAACACTGGTTGGCAGCCTATGCTCTATTGGGGGTAATAGGCGCAAGTATGTAACGCACTAAAATGGGAAATGTTTATTTTTGTAATTACAAATCAATATTAGGTTGTTGTTAGAAAAATATTTATTGTTCCAGTAAATATTTGTTCTTCGTTTTAACTGCAATTAAGTTTCGAATACGAGATTTTTACGGTTACATTCTAAGGAATTTTAAACTAACTAAATTTTCAAAAGCATTGACATTAATAATGTTGCCCCTGAAGTAAATGTTGCTAACAGCAAAAGGATTGATGATGACCAACCTATTTCCTATAAATATAATAGTTTCCAATAAATACATATATTCTGTATTTATAATATCAACTGAAGAATAATCTCTTATTTGCTTAAATGCCAAATTCATATTGACTACGGTGATTTGAGTGGGCAAGTAGAACTATTATATCTATCAAACTGAATCCCAGCTCAGACGTTTCATAATTTATCTCACGATGACATACGAAACCAATTAATCATGTATTTTTATAGTGGTCTAAATATTAACGAATGGATTTACTGAAATCTTTCAAAATTTACTTTTGTCAAATGCACTTGATTTTCATCTATCCTAAATGAAACTTTTCAGCATTTTCTGACATTACTATTAACATTAAGATAAGTTACGTAATAACATCAAGTAAGTTACTGTATATATTTAGATAACACCTTGTCTCCTGTTCACGCTATGTTGAATGAAAAAGAAGATTTTAAGTTTGAACGCCTTTCTTTTACTTTCGATAAGCTCGGCTTACATTGATTATTATTTAAGAAACCGATTCCTTCAGCTAGTGTGAATTCCGAAAAAACAGTTTTAACAAGTGACAAGTTGTGCTTCAAATTTTCTTATAAATTTTGCAGTTATGTTGTATGCACATATTTAATTAAATACTATAATCAAATCAAATACATAATCCATTTATTTATCCTTTCAACATCAAATTTCATATTACGCTATTTTATAATTAAAAATGACTAAGTTATACAAGACAAAAGACACCATTGTTCAATATTGTCAATAATGATTTTACAAAATACTGAAGCATTAAGGTTTCAAGTTCACAAATGTATTCTTAAAATATACGTTTCAATGAGTGATATGACATTTGATTTCCATTAAATCCGATAAATTCACGACTGATATTCTTTTTCTTAACTTTTTACCACATAAAGAATACTTTGTGGCAGCATAGTGAGATACATAAACAAGCAAGATGGTTAACACTATCACAAAAAGTTGTGAATACTCAAGAGTTTCATCCTTCCTAATATAACTGAATTATATATTTGTTGTCATTTTAATTCTCGTCAATTCCTATAACGGTTATATAAACAGCAACAAAATGATTCTAGTCGTGGACACATTGACATCGAACATCGAAATAAGTGTGAACATTTTACTACAAAATGAAAATTCAGGTGCAGTAGTTGAGAGTAAAAAGATATATCTTGAACATTGTGAATATTTAGGGTAGAAGATACCAAACACTGGTGATTTTCGGGTAGTTTTCAACCAGAATGTTACCATGATTTGCTGGTCCCATCATTATGGCTCTTTTTTCCTGTGCAATTTTCAAGTCATGTTATTTATTCTGACTTTAGCGTTTCTCTCAGATCTTTTCCTGGACAGAAAATTTACCAGCAAAATGCATGCGCCTTATCTCCAAACTGTCACTTGCAAAACACAGTGATTTTAGGTTATCTTCTTTCACATGTTTTATAGTCTTCAAAAGACTGATTGCGTCATACACCTAGATCCTGCACTTATCAGCAGTAACTCCTGAGTGACAATCCACTGCATACTGCTTATAAGCCATGTTACGAGTAGTATCCGCACAAATGTATATCATACCTTAAAAACGAAGAATTGTAACTCATGCTATGTGCATTTTCAAACTCATTCTGATTTCATGTTATTTGGCCATGAATCACGTAGTTATGCATTAGTGTGGTGCTTCGTTGAATCTTCGAAATGATCTACTCAACAGATAAATGATTTCTGCTAAACTTGCAGAAAGAAAAATAGTCTGATTAGTTTCTTGAACTGTTTTAAGAGAAAAAACTGAACTGATGCCGTTCAAAAACTGACAGTGTATTCCGTCATTGTTTCCCGGATAACTGTTTTAAGATTAGGACATTAATAGAAATCAAATATATTAAACGTATCCTTTTTGAATAAATTGTGGATTTGCGTTAATTGGATCACATGCACATTGTCTACCATATCAAATACTTACTGTTGAACGTTTCTTGAAGAGGCTAAAACAATAATTTCTAGCCAAAACATTGTAGCCAATAGACTTAAAGTTAGTTCTTGCGTGATCGCATATTTGGCAAGTTGTTAAAGTGACAAAACTGCAGAAATAACTTTGTATCAACTGTACAATCAACCCGACGGTTGATTGATTGATTAATTAAAAGAAATTTCATTTATATAATTTGCACTATGAGTTATTAGTCTAAAACCTTATTAGAAATAAATAAAAAAAATTTCTACTTAATATTTAGCAAAAAAAACAAATTTATCGTAATTCTTCTTTTATTATTAAAATTAATCTAAACAATGAGTCTTCTATTTTCTTTCTATTTAACTATAAATAATCTTCACTAGTTGGATATACACATGCATATCCGTATCTCTCAGCTGAACCGCCTACAATGAGACTATTGAGCACGGTGACAATGATTTCATTATTTGGTCAAGTAATCATTGGCTTTATTATTCAAGCAACTGCATTCATATTGATTCGTTTTCAATCATGGTAAGTACTGTTGTTGAATTTTCCTTTTAACTAGAATTTGTTTGTAAATCTTTAATTTATCACTTCTATTCGTTGTTTGTAGTCTGGTGTTTTCTGAAATTTTTTTTCTATTTTTATACTGCCAGACAAAAACAAAAATGTAGATACTAATTGACAATGTTAATATTGTACTACCAGTTTACTAGACTCTTTAATGAGAAATATTTTTGTACATCCATTGTCAATCTAACTAATATTAAAGAAGTAAATAAAAATACAAGTTAGATTTTTTTTATTTTAAATTTCGATACATTTGTAAGATGTCGAACCAATGTAGGACGGCTACATATGTGTATATGTTGAATGAGATACCGCATATTTATCTTTAGTATTGCCTGACAGTCGTCAAAGGAATTTATAAAACGTAAAAAAATTCTCGTTTTATGAAAACAATTTTCTGACTAGACAACACTGTTCAAATTATTAGCAAACATAGAATTCAGCCAACAAATTGAAGCAAAACAAATGTTTCATATATCGGCTTAACGTCTAATTAAAATTATATTATACGTATATTTCCCCTGTGTGATTTTTTTTCATCCTATTTAAAGTGTAATGTGTAATCCAAATGAGGAAAATGTTTTTACTACAATTAATGATCCATTTCTCTTTTACATATTTAAAATCTAATACACTAAATCTTACACTTTTTTCCAATCTCTTTATACCACTGCAAAAATTTATCATTCTCTTATTATTCTTTTTTAAAGGTATATGCCGTTGTATTCGTACTCTAATGCAGCTGAATATCAAAACTACGAAAATGCAGCTGTATTTATAGTTTCAGCTTATCAATATATAATTTTGGCTATCGCCTTTTCAAAAGGAGCACCATATCGTAAATCAATCTTAACTAATTGTAAGTTGATAATTGCGTTTACATGATTATTTACTAGTGTCTTGGATAATCAAGTATTGAAAACTTGTTAATTTGCCGAGTGTATCAATGTTGTAATGAAATTTTGAACTGAAAGACTTCTACCAATTTATTCAACATATATTCATCCTTTGGTAATAACTCTATTAAATACATTCTTTTGTTGTTCTTCTGTTGGGGAAGTTAGATCCCCTGAACTCACTTAAAAAGTGTCCTAATTTTGTAATTCTATTTCGAGATTTCGAATCTTATATTTTCGCGCCAAAGACGCCTATTTTGACCTTCAGCTTGCATTTCTGATTCGGGAATCCTTGACTATTTTGTGGCTCTCCTAAGAGCATTTCTGTCATTGTATAAATAAGCTTGAGTTATGTGCTTGTTGACCTCGTCCTCTCTGGTTGACTGTGGAATACGTTTCTCTTCGTCTTATCCAGAGTTCTTCCTCTAGTTAGTAGGGCCTGGGACGATCGGATTAGAGTAGCCTATCCTGTTGCTGAGTCATTGATCTTCGTTCCGTTTACCGATTACGGTGAACTCATAATAGCTCAAGCATTTCATCTTTATTTGAATCCTCGAATAAGTGCAAAATTTTCTAGTTTTAATCTTAAATTTAATTTTGCTTGCTTCGTAGTTTTTCTTAGTTATTCTAAATTTTAATCATTGAATTACATCTGTAACGCATATAAGTGATTTGAATGAAATATGTACTTAACTTTTATGTCAACAATCCGAAATCACTATTTAATAAATACTAACTGACTGCTCTTTAACAATCTGAGTGTAATTTCAACTGGGAGTTATATTTCAAATAAACATTCATTGACTATTTCACAAAAAGATTTATAATAAAGTAATCTTTCGTTGCTATTTTTTTTATAATTTTTCTAATAGATGCATTTGTGCTGAATATTTTGGTGTGCTTTGTGTTCACTCTTTACTTGACCACTCATCCAGTCAATTGGATACTTGAACGTTTACAAGTAAGCTTATCAAAGATTTTACCGTTCCACACGAATCAGTGTGCAATTTTAGATGCTGTTACCTAGTGTCAGTGTTAAGTGAGTCAGTCGTAATCAGTGAAAAGCCTGACATAAATTTACTGTAGCCCGAAACGCCATTACCACGTCAACAATATGAATGTCAAAGGATGGGAAAGTACTCAGATATTTTTGTTTTTATTTTTAAAGTCCGTGTGATCGGACCGTATTATCTAATCGGAACTTTGATTAGTTTGCAAAGGCTGTATATGTATAAGTTAGTGATAGTGAGATAAAATCGCGTAATAATACTTAATGGTCCTTGACTCAGAATTCAGATAATCTGTCACCAGAAATACAGCTCAGATCGACAGTCAATAATTTTTTGTTCTAATTACATATCTAGGGTTAGACAAATATGAATTGTTTACCACTGTTTGATAGACTCGTTCAACTACAAAACGCGTTTAGTTGTTAAAAATGGACGATGAAACCTAATATTACACTTCTCTGAAGAATCGAAAAATTAAGTCTTCTTATGTGAAAATAGTTTGGCATATGTTTATGTCAAATCAGATGGGTTTTCTACAAATGGGTGTATTAGAATTTTGAAGTTGCATTTATTCTTGTGTAGTCAGTCTTGAACACCGTGAGATCTATGGCGTGAATATGTATGTCTTAGTGGCTATACCGCTTCAGCAGGGCCCTCACTATTGTTAAATGTTGACAATTAATTACTTTACTGTATATCTGTTTTAATTAGTGACCCATGTTAATGCTGTATATTCATCATATCTTCAAAATATAGATAAGTTTTGAAAGTAATTTTTGAATACTTATTTTTGTAAATAATATACAGTAGAACCAGTCTTCTAGTCCAAGACAGACTGAACGTATAAGCTGATTCACTTAAGTTTGTACAGACTTTTCGGGAAGTTTAATAGTCCTTTATTTGAGTTGATGTGTTATTTAAATGTTAGATGACGCATTGTATTTTAGGATATAACAAACTTCATTGCTATCATTGACTCTTTTAACAAATAATACATTAAGTTGAAACTACGTTTCCTGGAGTTGGCTTTCAAATCACCTAGTACCTATATTTTATTTGGTGTTTGGCAAATTTCATTCACACTTTTGCATAGAAGGGGCTGACTGATTCTATCTGGCAACCACATTTTGTAAACAAATGTTTACTGATTTATTCGAAATCATCAAGTTCATATTGATCCGAAATTCCATCATATCAGAAACTTCTTTTTCCAGAAATATAGCCCGGATCAACAGTCATTAATTTTTTGTTCTGATACCATCTCTAGGTTTGCAGAATCTAATGTTTATCCAGATTACTCTTATTTCAGACAACATTGCACTTTTAGGTTGTTGATGGCTGTTCATAAATAATGCATAACTCACTCACCTCATTCAGTGGAGATTCACAATCTTTGTTTAATACTCACGCCTAACCTCAGCATTGCTCATTCAATTGTCTCACAAAACGCAACAATCCTACGAAAAATCCGAAGATCAAATATCTAAAGCCAGTACATGTCTTCTACTTTCACAGGTCATACTTTGTAGCCATAGAGTAATGCAGAGGGAAAAACTGCTCAATATATTCATCCTTTATTTGGTAGGTGAAAATTTCATCTCTATGTACCGAACTATCGAAATAGGAGATGCACTACCTTCAGACGCCAAACCACTAGCACCGATGAGACCATGCAAGCTACTTAAAATGGTCAAAACGGTCAGCCAATACAATTAGTGCAGTCAAAGAAAGGAGTGGCATTCTTATCATAAAGAGGCATCTTTCATGTAGGAAGTATTTATATCTTCGTATTGTTGCTCAGTAAGCTTTGTTTCAAGTCAGCTACGACCTTGATGTGGTGGTCGGGCTTGCCTGTTGTGATGACCCAACCGAGCCATATACGCCGGAACATATGTTCCTGAATGTTCTACTATGCCAGGCAGGTCGATTGAAGACTAAAAGCAGCTACCCAAGGTCTGAGGGCAAATTCGTACTACTGACTGCAGAGGAGTGTGACAGCAGTAAGGTGTTTCCGTCGGACAACCAGCATCTGCAGAGATGCTGCCTTCTCACAAGGAAGGCAGGGTTAGAAAAGGTCGACCCTAAAAGTGTCACATCTCACCCTACCTCACGGATTTCCGTCTCCGGCGGTAAGGGCGCCCACTAAGGGCCTTTAAGAGCGGAGCTAATACTAAAAAAAACTTTAATAAAAAGGCCGTGCGTGACTGGCCTTAAGCAGTTTTCATTTGAACTCTGCGGTCACGCACCCAGGTTGTTAAGACCAACGCTAATCTACCTTCCTTTTCATGTCCCTCAAGAAACAACCTTCCACGGTGTGGGCAGCCAGGAAGTGATAACTCCCGTCGTACCCGTAACAGCACACGAGACTAAATTGGTAAAAATCGAATTCTTTCTACACTCCCTAATATCTCTCTTATCTCCACGACTAACTCTTCTCATCTTCCTTTATCACACGGCACAGCTAAGGCAAACGATACGAGTTCGCGAAACGTCGTTCCTGGTCTCCTTAAACCCCGTTCCAAACTACATGTTGGAGCATTTAATGTACGGACATTGTGTCAAATAGGGCAACAGGCATCACTAGCTAGGACGTTAGAATCTCGTGCCATCGATGTGTGCTGCGTCTCCGGAACGCCGTAAAATCATTAATTTGATCTTGCTGGTGCAGGTATAGTATTGAGTCCCAGGGCAGAACTAGCGCTCCTTGACTGGATCCCAGTAGATAGTCGGTTGTCCGCTGTCTGATTGAATGGGACAGTAAGGACTCGGAAAGATAGGGACACCCGTCGTTGCTTCTTCGTCGTATCTGCCTAAGCCCCTACTTACTGCAGTTCAGTGTTACAGAAAGCTTTCGGACCTTCTCCATAAAGCTAGGCAAATCAGCAGATGAAGTAGTGCTACTCCACCGCGACGAGCTATGTTTTGCGGTCCGCGAGACGAAAGTCACCGATGGTTAGAGACCTTGAACGACATGGCTCAGAATCGTTTGCAGTGGCGCAGGTGCATCCACTCTTTGTGTTCTCTCAAACTCTAATCTTCTGAAGTCCTCGTAATCTCTACCCTTCTCCTTCTAAATTTATCTCACTCAATTATACTTCTCTAATCATATCTTCGCTCCCTAATCTTCTCCATTACTGCTAATACTTCTACTATCGCTGTCGATCTTGGATATGAAGTGACATTTGCGTCTCTGTGCTGATGTGGTATGGCAACCTGAACTGATTTACGTACGTACGAATTTCTGCGTTGTATCTGTCTGTCAAGTCTGCTTCACGACAAGTGAAATTTTTTTTTCTCAGCACTTCATGCAACTTAGTGAGTTTCGAAGACGAAAATCTATCCCCGAAAAGCTATATAAAGGAAATGTAATTCTAAGAAGGCTATTTTCTGATGAGGTTCCCTGAAAGGATGGAGTGTGGGCAACTATGATTATCAATTTGACGCAAACACATTACCATGATTTTTGACTCAATCTATGAATCAAAAGGCTTTATATAGCTAACGTACTTCTTTGAGGCACATTTTTCAGTAAAAAGTACAGATGCGAAACATCCCAAGCAGTGCTGTCTTATTTCTTCTTAAGATGAAGGAATACATTTAAATTCAGTATGTTTGTTTTCCAAACCCTGATGAATGAACTTTATTTAACCGATATAGTGATGTTTACATCTGATACCAGTCTGTTCAGACCGTGTGTATTTTGCAGACCTCAGTGATTATATAAGTCAATATTTTAGACACAAAATTAATCAAACGGATCCCTCAGCTGTTTCTAATGAGATATTAGAGCCGGTTAGATGGGATTACGTCCAGATCATAAACTCTGGGTAGTATGTCACAACTTAAACACTAAAACTAAATAGACATGCTGATAGATTGTTAGAGTTGATATGTCAGGTCCTATTTCTTATTCTCGCTCCAGGTTTCATATCGTTGTTTAAACCCCACTAAGATCCCCGAATTTTAGTTGAATTTTCATCTGTGTTGTTTAAAAATAGTGAGTGGGGGATAGCTGGAGGCAAGTTAAACTGCCCCTAATAAAATTATTCCTATCGTTCCACCTTTCAGAAGTCAATGATGACTGCAGTTCGTTTTTTTTCGAAGTACTCTAACGAATAACTGAATTTTTCTTACCTATCTCCTTGATGACTTGAAGAAATTGTTCATTCACTATTCACAATCATAAATAGTAGTACTCTTACTAAGAAGTATTTTCACTAAGCACAAACGACAAATTAATGAAGCAGATCTCACTTTTTATGGCTTGATTTTGATTTGAATGCTCCATGATAACAAACATTACTGCTAGTGACTGAAATTCGTAGTGAAAGACACGGATATGGCATCTCACTCTTGAGCCAGTATACATTTAACTAAGATCATCTCTTCAATCAACTTATTTAAAAGGCTATCATTCGAAAAGTAAAGATTTGCTTTTGTCGTCATATTATTTTTATTATTATATCTGTATGAGCATGTATGGTTGATCACATGTTTCGGCCTAAACGCACTAGCTTTAATGTTGGTCGCTTAAATCTCTCGTTGAATCTTTCGCTTTCGTATATATATGTTCTGCTCAAATCCTTGTAATTCATTCGCTTCGTGTCTCTGTGATCTGCTTGTGGGATAACAAACTGCGGTCCACGCTTCATGCCACATTCCGAGACTCATACAAAGTTGGTAGTCATGTAATAATAACAATAATAATAATAATAATAATAATAATAATAATAATAATGACGAGTGATTTGTAAAGCATAGGCATTATTTCGAGCATAATGCACTATCATCTTTTAATCCCAATACAGTTAGTTCCTGAACTAGAGTCAAACACTGTTTTTATATAAGTCATCTTTTCCATAGACTAAAGTTCATATCATTATATAATTGTTTTTCCTTGTAAATTTCGATATTTATACACAAGCAGTATTCATTCACTAATAAAATGTATCGTTTACTGTAAACATAGTTGTATTTTTGTTGCTTGCTTAATTTTTTTGCTCGTACTTATTTTCAAGACAGAATATCATTCTAAGTTGGTACATATTGTTTGAGTCAGCTATGCTTTTATGTAATCATTAAAAAGTATTTATTAGTAAAAACTAAAACATTCTCATGTTTTCAGACTGTCATACTTCAAATGTTCATCTACTTGAACGATAGCTAACATTTTCACTAGTATTTCTACTCAAAAATCATAACTCTTTACACTGGATCACCGTCATGTTCAACACTCATTTACTGTTGTTATTTTTCTCTATACAGAACCTATCTATTTAGCATGTATAACATCAACCGATTCGAAAAGGTGAATAGTGTGTTATGATATCCTGGATGAAATCTCAATGTATTTTTTTTTATTTTTATTTTATCAACAAAAATATACAATTCATTGATGACGATGAAATTAAACTATTCTATCAATAAATTGGTAGAGAATTTGATTTAGCATAATCCTAATACCGATTACTATTGAACAAAACATTTTCTTTAGCAAACATATCTCATTTATATTGGTTTGGCATCTTAGTTTTAATAATTTTAATGTGTTTCTTTGTTGGAACCTTGACTATATTACTTCATGATGAAAATTACCATTTGTTTGATTCGATTAAGCCTGATCTTTCCCATTAGTTTGTGTTTAAAAATAATAATGTTCGTTACTTTGAGAAAATTACTTGAAACAATTCTAAAATAATCAAAAATAATGTAATTTGTTTGTTTAAAAGTGTAATTTAATTTTGTCAACAGTATAACAATGTTGAAAAAGTTTGAAGTAATTCAAAATTTTTTTTTCATTATGAATATGAATAAATACACATGTATGTCTGACTCAGAAATTCTGATTAATTCTCACACTGAACAAAATATTTTCTGTTCAAATGATTTAAGGCACAGACTACACTATAACGTCATAAATGTAAAACTCTACTATTCATATGTCATCTTTAACTTTCGATAAATCGGCCTTTTTTTCAAAACTTACGTAACAATTCGTCTTGAACTACTAGTGAGTATCCAGTATCAGAACATTCTGTCCAAGTATTATGAAGTTCATTTAACTATTCTTATCTCTATTAATGTTTATACAATAAGTTTTCTAGTGAAAATCAAAATGGTTGTATATAATGAAATTGTTTTTGTGAATTATAGTTAGTCCGAATTCCTTCCATTTGGTTTATATGCATATTACACTCCATGGTTTTGGCGAATTTCATGGCCAGTTATATTGTTGAGTCAGTTGTTGATGGAGTCGCTTTTCGTCGCCGTATACGTCGCATTCGTCAAGCATTATTTCCAAGGTAGGTTACCTGATACATTTTGCTTTATAGTTACTGTTTATAACTTTAATTCCAAAGATTAGATGATAAATTCGCTAAGAAGTGAAATGTACTGCATACTTGTTAACTTATTCTTATTTTGTAAAAAGATTCTGGTTTTCTTCATATCATTGTTTCTGAAAGAGTGATAAATAGCAAAACGGCTTTGTTTTACTTTCATCTACCCGAAAATCTATTCCCAGTTCTTGATGCTTCCTTCCATTACTGGCGAGTGGATACTGAGATGAAACACATTTTCCCATTGTGATTAACAATAGAAAATTTTAATTTCGAATAGAATATGCTATTATGTTTTGTGACCGCTGAGTACAATTCCCGTGCCAAAACAGTGATCATAATCCTAATTAAAATTCGATTGATCTCAAGGCTATTATTACTGTATCGCTTAGCTTCTTCGACTTAGTCTATTACACATCTCTCTCTGCTCTGCCTTTGAGTCCGACAGTCAACAACTAGCCTTTAAGATGCAAGTGTCTCAACAAACGTGGTTAATGTGCAGACATACCATACCGCATAACACCAAAAAATCAAAAATTACAATTATGCAAGAACAGGTAAAAAATTGGCTGTGAACGATGGGAACTGTAAATTATAGATTGACAATGTAATCAGCACTGTAAACACTAACTGAATTATAAGAGTCTAATGGACATGTTAAGCATTTTTGTAGGAATAAAAAAAATTTAATCAAGCATATATGTACAGGAAAGGCCTTGAAAGAAGGACAGACGTATTGCATCGTTAAATTAGTTGTCACTTTGTCAACAAAACTGAACTACATCAATTTCGGCATCCGATGAGAAGTCGCACATGTGAATGAAAAGACTCTCCTTTAAAGTGTTTTTAACTTCATTTTAAACTGCTGATGAATTTCGATCAGGTATATATACTGTGAAGTATTGACTAGGTCGCCTGTTAGACGTTCGATTCCATGGTTGAGAACGAACAGTATTCTTCGAGATGGTGGAGGGAATTTGTAGCTCTGGTGGAGTTTAATTTTTTCAGCTGTCAAGCTCAGACAACTAAACTCCACCACTAACTGTAGACTGCTTCGAAAGGTTTTATTTCGGAAAACGTATTTCAAATGTTAAAGCATGAGGAATCAATAACACTGAGGCAATATGGTCTACCGAAAGTGCTTAAAAATGACTTGCTCCCTCTACTTGTTTTAAATATGAATGATTACTCCTATTGTATTGCAGCAAAATGGTATGTACAAATTGTCCGAACTTTGTACAAAATAATTATGAAACATGATGTGAAGAAACCCTTTGGACTTATTGATTATCTAAAGGATTTGTTGATCAAAAATAACGTTATTATAATATGAAATGCATCGTTTGTATTCACTAACGTTCCAACACCGGGAAACCTAAGGAAAATATCTAATGACTAACCTTCAAAAGAACAGCTACAAACACAAAATCAAAATATATCAACCAAACTCATCAGCGAAAACGAAATCAAATATAGAAACCAACAAACAAACATCAGGAATTACAAGCAGATCAATGAAGCCGTTTGGAATAGACCAACAAAATTTAAATTCAAGGACAAAATAAAAAATAAAAGTAAAACCGAAAATCATCCACAAAATAAACTGTTCCATTTGCGAAAAGCACTACGTTGAACAAAGTGGACGTATCTTTCAGCTTCGCTTACGTGAACATCAATTAGCACTCAAACACCATAACATATCTTCCTCTATTTCAGTACATGCAGACAGCTGTGGACGCACATTCGACTGAAAAAATGTTGAAATTTTGAATAGAGAGAATACTTATCATATATATATGTTTAAAAATGGTTAACATTTTAGATAATTTTTGTATAATTGCACTCATAATGTATAATCTTTTTGAAGTGTCCAAACAATTTATTCGATATTACTTTTGTGGTTTGATCAAGACGTGTGGAACGTAAAGCTTATGAGCGGATTCGGGAGGAAATTGACAGGTCAGCTGGTGTTTGGCCTCCCCTTTTAAGATCTGCCAGTCTACAAGCATTACCACGGGATCTGTTCGCAGATGACAATATAGACATTCCTACTCGTCCTAGGAGTAGGCGGCTCTCTTCCGCCGTATCCAATGACACGGATGTAGAGGTCGCTTCTGTTCAAAGTGAAATAACTGACAGACGACAAATTCCTTTCAGCAGTACAGACGGTGATGTTGGTTTGCCTAAGATTGTCGGTAAATCGTTTTCTAATCAATTGAATGTAAATGAAAATCCAAATCCGAGTTTTAATCTTTATGGGTCTTTAAAGAAACGCAATCTTTCAGTGGTAAGGAATCGCTTTGATAAATACTTCATAACAATTTTTGTGTTGACTTTACATGTTATGGTGCATGATATAGTTTCTACTACATGAGTAGGGTATTCACCGTGTTGAGAAAACAATTGACCAATCAGAAGACGTTTGTCTGATTTTAAAAGAAGCATTGCATAGTTTAACCACTGAACTTATTTGACACATAATTTTTTCTGGACGATTGATCAATAGTGATAGGGAAGTGAGCCAACTACCTTGATAAATTACGTTAATATTGTGTTGTGCATTGCTCTAAAACGAAAATTTATTTGCTGAAGAAAATTTTCATAATTTAGTTAGAGAAGGTTTTGTCTTAATCTGATAATGAACACATTTTATGTGTGTATGAATAAGCATTTTGTCATTGGTTGTTGTAATTTCATCATGTGTTTGTTCAGAATATAGATCTTGATAACACTGGAACTCTATCTTAAGTATTAAAAGTTTTGAAATTTGAAAATGAAATCTGAATATTCCTGTTCGTTTGTCTGATTAAACTTTTCAAACGGGTTTTTTTCCTAATTAAATCATGCTAAAAAGAACTTTGAATAAACAGAGATTATTTTGTCACGGCTGACTTTCTGGTTGTTATTGTGGTTGTTGTTGAATTATTTTATGAAATTTCTAGACCTAATTTGCATTTTATGAGCTTTTCATTCACCAAAACAGTATGCAACACATAGTCAACACTGAATAATATGCAAACATTTAATGTGTAATTTGTCAATAACACACTATAGTTCTTACATGAATATTATTCTCTGATTGGTGTAAAGTGAATACATATCAAAGGATTTACTGTAAACTATCGACAACTAATCTATGTCGAAATGGTGGACTAATTTCAGATCACTTGGACTGTTTGCATATCGCATATTGATGGTTTCAAATTACCTAGCGCCTAAATTTTACTTGGTATTTGGCAAATTTCATTTACAATTTTACATAAAAAACGCTAATCGATTCTATCTAGCAACCATATTTTGTAAACAAATGTTTACTGACAATTTGTGGATGATTTATTCGAATACATCAAGTTCATATTGATCCAAAAATTCCATCATATCGTTTTCCAATAAACTAAATTGTTGGTAAATGGAATGAATGCTTTTGCTATGTGTCATTGTTTTGGAAGATTTTTTACTTAAATGCATGTATGTGTGTTAGTTAGTGTTATCCTATTTAAACTAGCCAATATTGACAGTACCATATCTCTAACCTGAATTAAACAGGCTGCTGTAGTTTCCAAAGAATTATAATGATAATAATTGTTCAGGTATAATGATTTTGATCATGTTAGGTAACACAATGTTAAAATAAAATTGCTGATTTATCTGTCTTCTACTTATATTAAGGATTCATTGCATCACACAACTGATGAGGTATTTGAACATCGATCAGTGTCACGTACATCTTCCGTTATGGAGTTTCCTGTTATAAAAAGTGTCAGTACACATTTGAACAATGAGGAGGATAAGGAAAATCATGATAAAGGAGACTGTCGTTGAATTATGTAGTTGTTTAATGACAGAAGTTGAAGTGCTTCCCTGCTTTCTGCTGCCTGTAACATGTTATTTTTCTACAAAGCTAACATAATTGTTGATGATGCGTATTGAAATGTCAAGATCGTGTACTTTTCACATTAGATTCGATGTTATATTTAATTTTTAAAATACCCGAAGAACTTTAACTCTGGAATTCTATACATATTTTGATTTATTTGCCTCATTTAAATGCCAAAATGTTTACTTCGATGCTATTTTTCGAGAATCCCAAAAACTTTTGGCATAAAGCGTAGTTTGCCAATAAAATATGTTATACATTTTTTTTGATATTTGATAAAATAATAATGATATTTACTATTTACAAAATTTAAAATTATTATTTACTATCTATAAATGTTAACTTAATCTAAATTACTATTTGTGTTGCAACGAATATTTTGTAGAATAATAAAGGCTCTGACATAAAATAGACAATTTATTTGTGTTTATGACAAATTATTCCAATCATTATTCACTCTTTGACTGTAAAGTGATTCAATACAACTCGCTGGTATACGAGATTATTAAAAGCGTGATAATTTTGTTGTTACTTTTGATTTCATTAAAGTATGAGAATCTGCTTCATTATAAAGTGTTCTGTACTATTTAATTCTATGCACAAAGAAAATGCCAGGGTTATTATTGCCGGGTCCCAAGTCTGGATAAAGTGAAGGAGTTAGACATACGATTAAGAACCTCATCCTGTAGGTTGTTTATTCGATAAATCGGTGTTACTTATGAGTCTAAATTGAGTTCATTGTAAACGAAAAGTTTATTTTAGAACTGAGTCATACATATATTTCTCATTCAGTTCTGTGCTTTCGACACACTAATTCTCATTTGATAAATTTAGAAAATCACAAAGAAATATAAATATTACAAGGACTGACGAAGCTGAAGAGTAGCATGCACTGAGGTATCCAAATAAGTGCGAAAAATACTCCTGAATCAAGGATCATGAAAACATCCCTCAAAACAAAAAAGGAAGGGATGAAAATGAATATCGACCAGTGGTTGTGACGATAAGGATCACTTTTGTGAGTCTGAAGTCGATCGTAGAGAAATACCCTGACCTGGCTATCTTGATGGGAGAGCTAGACGTTAAACTTAGAGTAGACAACATCAGATATGAAAACATCATAGGACCACATGGGCGGGCCTAGAAGAGCGGAAATGGTAAGAGGTTCAAAAATCTATAAGACTCCAAACAGAATGGCTATAGGCGTTCCCACACAAACGCACACACGAAGATACATGAGTTTCACCTGATCACACTACGAAGAACCGAGACCGATAAAATGTTCAGAAAGTTCATGAAAGATGTGAAAACAAAAGGGAGAGCTAATATAGCTTCAGATCAGCATCTGGTGATGGCCAAGATAGAACTGAAAGTAAAGAAGTACTTTAGAACTGGAGAAAACATTACAAAAGTTTCGTTCCGCTTTCCTTAGGGATACTGACATACTCGATGACCTGAAGATAGCTCACAGAAAAAAGTTTCAAGCATTACACAATCTACCAGAGAAAGAGGGAATTTCTATGAAGAAAAACTGGAAAGTGATAGGAAGTTCAATAACTTGTATATCAGAAGGTGCTAAGCTGTGAGAAGCATCACTATAAGTAATGGATCTCTGTTGATACTCTGGATAAGACTCAAGAAAGGAAGAACAAGAAGATAGCAATCAGTAATAGTCAAACAAGAACGGAGAATGCCAAGACACAGGCCAAATACACAGATTGAACGTCATCTTCGTTAATCTTAGCTAACATTCAGTAAACAAAACATTTTGATATTGAGTTTTGCATTTAATATTTAGTGCTTGTATTTAAAAATTAAATTTTTGAGGAAAACATACAATTGCCTTATGCATTCATATACTCGATTATATCAAACGCATTGGATAAGCGTGAGTTGGCTGTCTATGATGCAACTTGAATAGATTAACTACTAATATATTTGAATACGATTTTTTCATCAGTCTTCCAGGTTCGGTTTGGTTCTCAATCAATAGCTTGAACCATAGTCTACTTCTGCATACAAAGCTCCAGACAGTTCAGCTACTGTGAGCGATATTATTATTGGTGTACCTATACATAATTGAGTTTGGAATTTTAATACAAAATTTATAATAAGAGACTTCAACTGCCCCATTATAAATTTGTCTATCAGTATAATGAAGAATTCTAGATAAACACTTTAGGTCATAATGCATACATACCTCAACAAAACATAATAACAAACTTAGCCTAATTTTATTTCAAGATATTAAACTCTGATTCGTTCACGTAAGCAATGAGGTTCAAGACAACAACTATACAATGGTTGTATTCACCTCCTGTTAACATTACCCTACCAATTATATTTCCTTACCAAAAAGCTAGTAAACATTATGTCATATCAGAACAAAGATTTAAGTTGTAGCAAATCAGAAAATCAATTTGTGGGTTATGATTGCAATTAGCCTTATTGTATAATTATTATTTTACTAGATTATCAGTATATATACATATTCCTTTTCTATCATTAATTTTCTGTTATTATCATACAATACACCATTCCTATTTATTATTTACAGTCTCCCTTACAGACAACTTTGTCTCATTCATGTATGTTGTTACTGCTCATCAGCCATGTTATGAGCAGCATGCATAATACCAGTAAATCTTATTTCTGTGCAGAAAGAAAATTTTATTTAGCGGTATCTCATAATATTATGCCTTACTTAAGTTACAAAAGTAAAGGTCTATCTAGGTAAAATTCCATCAGACAGAATTAATTCAAGGGGCCTATCAACATGTTCAAGCTTGAAGGTTGTATGATAATGAAAGTGACTTTTTCGAATAATTTTAATTACCTAGGTCTTAACTAACAGATTACACTAAGCATGAATATCTGCTGTATGAATTATTTCTAATTTCATCTTTTAAGAGTATTAAAGATCCACATTGTGAAAATTAGAACACGTATAAGCCAGCAATATTGTTTTCGACTAGATCGTCATTACGCTTTACTCTAATATACATGAACATTTATATGAAACCAATCAAGGCAAGTTGAGTCAATAATCACAATAAAATAGATTACGTCACCGATCAAAATAGGTAGAAGTATAAGTTGATAGTAGGAAGGCTGGTGTACTGATAGTGTAGTAAAAGAGAACACAGGTGAGGGCAACTGAATTGGATTTATCTCAAATTACAGAGTTACTCAGTAAAATAGGAAAACCATATCATAAACGGTTAATTTGCAAATCTTCAATCCATTGTCTGACATTCCACTATTCATGCGTTTCATACAATTCCATTGTGTTCCCACTCTTCCTTTCTTGATCTTCCCCCATCTTCTGCTGCCAGACATTACGTTGACGCTCACGTCATATACTACTTATAAGTAGCTCACACCACACTCGTCCCCCCTTTTAATAAGCTGTCGTCCTAGTCTTTCTGATCGCCGTACAGCTGTCTTCCTTGGTGCTTTTCGTGACTCATTCACTGGATAATCTTGAAACCATCTCTGCAGTTGACTAGCATTTACGCGCTTCTGCTTGTCTTCTCTCCGGATCGTGTACACCGCGCCGCGTCTCTCCGTGATAACGAACGGTCTGTCCCACTTTGGGATCAGCTTTCCCCACCCTGATCCCCCTGCTATGCTACTTTTTTGTTCTCTACACTTTACTAGGTCCCCCACTGCAAAAGGTTTCCACGTTCTCCTCTGTTGTTCTGCCTTCTGATATTTGTTTCTTTCCCACGTTCCTGATTGCCTCCCTCCTCCCTTTTCTTAACCTTGCTGTTGTCCATTTCTGTTGTTGTGGCCAAGTCTTACTGTGCAATGGAGGTCGCGGTTGTCTGCCATACATGAGCGAGAAGGGTGATTTCTTGGTTGTACCTTGTATGGAGGAACGATGCACCAGCAAAATCAATGGTAACTCTTTCTCCCAATCTCCTCCTTTAGATGCTAACCATTCCTTTAACGTTCGGTTGTTTCTCTTATTTCAGTCACTTCGCTCCTTTCGTGTATTGGCAATGAACCATACTTTGTGACCATTTTACCACTTCTCAAGTCAATTATCGCTTTTACCTGTCTTAGGAAATCTGCTCCTAATATCGGTCTCGATAAGCTTGTGGTTACCACGAACGGAAAATCTATCTAGGCTCCACTCATTTTTACAATACTGTTAGATACCCCCAACACCTCTAGCATATGCCCTCCTATGGTGTGGACAGCTAATGTACATGGTTTGATTGTCTTACATTTCTCTTTGCTTATTAACGATATAGCTGCCCCTGTATCGATCAAACACACTAACTCCTGTTCATTTATGTACACTCTGGCATAAATTGCCCCTCTATCTACTAGTGCAAGAACCTCCCGATTCCTAGAGTGGAAAGTACACACGTTACAATGTTTAAAATATCTTCGTCATCGTCTTATTGTACAGTTTATCTTCCAATGTCCTGCCCCTCTACAAGCGTAACATTTATCGTTCCTTTTATGATCCACTCGTAATGCTGCTATCTCACGCTCTAACTCCACAATCTTCTCGAAAGTATTTATCTCCTGCTTTTCGCACCCGACCGGAGCTACTGTTCGTGTCATCAGCTGACGAGTCACCTTCGTCAGTTCACCGATATCCATAGGTCGCGCTGCGTTTACTAGTCTCAGCTGCTGCGACAAGGCGGCAGGCACACTCTCAACAAATTGCGACGTCAACAACTGTGCCTCCGACTCCTCATCGATGTTCGGCAGCGCACGGCGCAACAATCTGGTGAGCTCCACAGCAAGCACCAACGGGTCACCATCAGCCGACAGCCTCGCCAACCGGAACTCCTGCAGCGCCTTCTCCCTGTCCACCGGGCTGTCGAACTACGTCATCAGCCGCTCAATGATCGTCTCCCATGGCGTCTTCCCGCCAGCACCGTCCAAGATGTCATATACGGCCTTCGCCCTACCTCTCAGCAGCGTCCACAGCACCACCAACTTCGCCCTCGGCTCCTTCATCCCCACCAGCCCCGCCACGGCCTCAAACTCATTCGGCCATCGAATCTTCATCCTTTGTGTAGGCAGCGACACCAAATGTAGTGAAGGAGAACACAGGTGAGGGCAACTGAATTGGATTTATCTCAAATTACAGAGTTACTCAGTAAAATAGGAAAACCATATCATAAACGGTTAATTTGCAAATCTTCAATCCATTGTCTGACATTTCACTATTCATGCGTTTCATACAAATTCCATTGTGTTCCCACTCTTCCTTTCTTGATCTTCCCCCATCTTCTGCTGCCAGACATTACGTTTTCACTCGCGTCATATACTACTTATAATTAGCGCGCACCACAATAGTAGTAAGAGTAATAAAATACGATAACTGAAGTTTTTATTAATAGTTAAACATTGGAGATAATGGGTCAAACGTGGACAAGTAGACTTAAAATAATCATTACAAAACATTAAAACCATTATGTCATAAGAAGTGTGTACGTAATCAGATAATGTCGAATATAAACGGGAAGATGCAGAAAATTACAAACAAATACAGGATGTGAAAATAATGCTTATAATGACAAAATTAAAAATAAAAAAAATTATTTAAAACGTTTGTTAAGTTATATCCGGCCATGAAAGGGATAGGGGTGTCAAAAATTCCTTCTGAACACATAATTTGGGGTTGAATGTGGGAATTCCTATGGCTTCTGCTATATGTAGGAGACGGGATCGAACTCCGTTGGGAAATAATGGAGGTATGTTTAGTGACGTAATCTATTTAATTGTGATTATTGACTCAAATGGCTTTGATTGGTTTCATATAAACATTGATTTGTATTAGAGTAAAGAGTGATGACGATCTAATTGAAAACAATATTGATTGCTTATGTGTGTTGTTCTAATCCCCATCTTTTACTCTGTACAAAACTACCAGCTTCTATTAACAGATAAACATTTCTAAATCATAAAAACATTTAAGATTGACATAACAACATCACTTAAACATGAGCTTAATTATTTTTAAAGTTTATGAAACACAAAACACGGAAAATATTTGTCACACAAGATTATTGAATATATTAGAAAGGGGAATTAGAGACAATATGACATTGAGGACTGCAGTCGGTATCCCTTTTCGTACGTGTACATCTTAAGTGGATTAGCACGGTATTTACATTTACAAAAGTTTGATAGTGACTAATACTGATTTCCAAGACGTGTGTTTCGTTTTCTTCAGGTCTTACCGGTTGATTGATTATACACCTGTGTCGATGTTTACGCCTCAACTCAAGCCTAGTGCAAATATCCAACCATCCCAAGAAATATTAGTTTGAAATATTTTGCGGAAATGAAGTTGGCAAGTATTAACGAAAAAAATCAGTTAGCATGGTGTAGATCATTATTCTTTAAGTCCAATGATATAAGAATGAAGTGATACAACTAACTCACTATTTTTCAAAAATATCGATATTTCTGTCTAAACAGTTGGTTTTTTTGTTATACTACTTGCACCTTGTTAGTAGCCAGATTTTTTTTTACTTATGGAGTACCATACCATATCAATTGGTGACGAAATCGGTCACAGAACCTTTGTGTATTATACTGCAGGAATTCGTTAATTAATTTTTTTAGTAAACGGATATTAAGGGATATAAACTAATCATTCCTAACATACTGCTTGGTAGAGAGAATGACAAAGAATCACTTTTCGTGTGCTGAATGTAGTTTATTCAGTTTAGATGACTGAACTGAAGCCACCAGTCTTCCAAACCAGTAACCTCGATTAAACAATGGCTTCGTTAGCGAAAAACACAGTTCGTTAGCAGTTTAATCAAATGATCTATCTTTGTGCTAAAAACTCTAGATTACTTCAAATTGTTCCGTTTGGTTGAACAGTCTAAAACAATGGCTCAGGGAAGTACTTATTTTTTAGAGTTCAATAATCATTACTTTTCACCTGCCTATTTTAAGTCAGTAGTTTTTATATTAATGAATTATGAACTTTGTACAAGGTGACATTTACGAATTTTTCTCAATGTCACAATTATGTCCCCCGTATCGATTCGGGCGAACGATATTCATTGCACGTTTTTGTGTTTTATTGATGTGTGAGTGAAAATGGGAACATGAATTATTTGATTTCGGTAGAATGACGATGTGGTTTTGGATGTCATGTTCGAACTTGTTTGGGTACGTGTTTCGGAGAGTTAATGTATCTTCATTTTACCAATTTTCGTGTTCTGAAAATTACAGTGATTTCTTACTTTCAAGTGTAAGCAGTAAGACTGCGAACCCAAAAGTGTTGATATATACATTAACAAAAACAACATCTCAGACAAAACAGAAGAATATCATCAGTATAACACAGATTCTACATAAATGTTTTCCTTACTACAAACGGCACCACGAATACTGGAAAACGTTTGGTGAAAGATCAAATTTCATTAATTAACCAATACATTCACATAGTAAATATTGCTTTTTGCATGAACTCGAATGAACACGGTAATACAGAAATGCCACATATACAATCATCTTTGATTATAATGACTTGACGTTAATATATTCAAGTTTATTTATGCTAACATTCGATTCAATTTTTTAGTATTAACTAAACTTATATTGATGTTATTCACTCACCTATTCTATGAAGGGGCGACTCCCACTAAGTTGTGAAACACCGGAAATTTACTTTTTATGACTTTCGACAACTGATTAAACTACCATGATAAGAACACCAACCGGAATTCATTGCGGTACTAACGACAGTGATTCAACACTAAGATTATATAGGTTCACGATTCTCTAACTTCGTTCTGCCTTGCCCTTGAGTCCAGAAATCAGAACCAGCATCAGCCATATATGTATCCAAGCAGGCCAGGCAATATCACAACATAAAATAAAACATAAAAATTATACTCCAACGAGTCTGTGAATAGGGAAACTACGAATAATAGATTGGAAATAAATTAAGAAGATTAAATAGTTTGACAAGATGAATCAAACTTAAGCTTACGATAAAACGAATAAGAATATATAATAATCTAGTAAAGAATAGTTATACAAAAGTAATCCATCGATTGGTTTTCTAAGTCACTTTTATTTTTAAATTCGCTCGAATATAACATTACTCAATGGAATATTAACGATATCCAATTATCCAGATATTGGTAGTAATATTGACATGTATTGTTTTCAACAGGACCTTCATCATACTGTTCTCCAATAAATATTAGTATTTATGTGCATATATGGAAGTACTAAACTAATTCGGATAATTTAGGAGTCGGCGATAACCGTGAATATTATCCCAGCGTATAGCTTTCCAAGCCATTTGACTTATTCCCCATTATGAAACATTATTTAAAAGAAAAAAGGTCATGAGCAATTCAAAAGACTGGAATTTGGGACAAGATAAAGAATAGATGATCCTGGACAGTCGCAAACGATCTTAAAACGCATCATTTAAAAACGATAATCTCCGATTACTATCACCTCGCGGACCCCAGGTAGGCAGTCTACACTCACCAACATGACTCAGTCCACTAGTCAGAAAACAGAGCTCGACAAGGAAGTCGGGGTCGGGCATTCGTAACACATGTTCCAACAACCTCAAACGATCAAGATTGACTGTTTCATCTACTGATCTGCCATTCTTACCTTGTATCCGTTTCCCAACAACATCATCGCTTACTCGATAGTCCTAGGATATACAATAAATGCTTCGGAAACACATAGGATCGAAAACCCGTAACCTAACAATATCCTCAACTGTAACTGCTCATGTCTAGCAACCATATAGTAGGACGGAGCGAACCAATGGGGAATAGACTTGTCTTTTGGTTAGCATACGGACATCTCGACTAGCCTGAACATGCTTGCATTGTAGTTGATGGTACTGAGTCACTACATTTTGCCAGCGTCTCGACCATCAGAACTATGTCATCAGCATACTTTAAGTCAACAGCCGAGTATCCTGGTAGAAGTTCTACCTCTGAAAAGTCAGAAGAAGACAGTGTTATCTCTAAATGTATGCCTATGACAAAGTTGAATAAGAATGGAGGAAGTGGACATCTCTGACGGACACCGCTTGAAATAACCAATTGCGATGGCAGTTTGCTATAAGCCCTAACTCCACCAGTAGAGTTTGAGTAGAGAGCTTGTATAATGTTGCGTCCGAGTTTTATCGAGGCCAACATTTTGGATGCTATATTAGTTGAACTGATCCCTCTGTGATTGTCACAAGAAAACCTTTGTCCTTTCTTACAGATCGGGACAATCAGTGATTGAGACCAGTCAGATGGGATTACGCCTAGTTCCCAGATTCTGCTTAAGATCTCAGTTAATCTAATTGCTGAAACTAGACCACCATCATTAAAAATCTCAGGGGGAGCGCTTGTCAGGCCCTGCAACTATCCCTCGTTTCAGATTTCATAAAGAATCCTCAACTTCGTTAAGTCGAGGAACACATATCGATTTGAATTTCCTGTTGACTGGAGATCGTGGGCATCCGAAGTGTGACTGAAGGCCAGTTGAATTGATCCATAAAGTGTACTGCCCATCGATCCAAAATCCTGAGTTGAGAATGAATGACACAACCATCCTTTTCCGAGATAGTTTCGCTAACAGATGGATTCCCAACATCAGTTTACTAGATAAGGCGGATCAGTTGTCTACTGTTTCTTATTGCCGCTTTCACCAGCCACCACTGTTGGCGATCATTGCGCTGAAGCTGACTTCGCTGTTCGTCATGTTCAGAGCCAGGCGAAATGAGTCTTCAGGCGTTCATCAGTTCGGCGAATGCTACTGAGATCCACGGCTTCTCCCTAACCTTATGATTTACCTTACTAGCAGATATCACTGTTGTTTCCACAGCCTCTTAGATACCGTTCCAAGCTGCATCGTGGTAGGAATCACTAACACGGACACCTAACTGTTTATCTAGTTGCTCATGAAATACATATTCTTAGCTTTGCTATCATCAAGTAGAACCTTACAAGGTTTACTAGCGGTGTCTTTCCAAAGTCCAGTAGGACGCAAACAAATACACGCTTGCACTATAGCATGATCTGAATCTATACATGTGCCCCAGAATGAGTGGTAGTCTTTTATCGAACCCCTCCATCGGTGGCTGATAGCAGAGCTGGTGAAGTGCTGGCTCGAGAAAGCCAGACCGGTTTCCGTCCTGTACGTGGATGTAAAGACCAAATATTCACTCTTCATCAGGTCCTGGGACATTTTGATGACCCACTATATTTGTATTCCTTGACCTTAGCGGGATTCCACTCTGTCGATCGTGAGGTTCTGCGGCACTGTCTGTCATTATAAGGCGTTGATCAACCTTATGGCAACTCTCTACTTGAACACTACTGGTCGAGTTAGAGATTATGGTGAACTGTCACCGGAATTAATTACTTCAAGTGGTGTTCGTCAGAGATGTCAGCAGCCACTATTGCTATATCAGAGCGCTTAACTTTTTGGAGAAGGTTAGAAAGGTTTGTGCAAAACTCAGCTTTCACCTCGTCTGAACTGTAATCAGTGGGAGCGTAGGCAACGGTAGGTTTTCTTATCATTCAGAGTCTTTATTGTCCCGTTTAGTCGGACAGCCCACGAGTACCTATCTACTGGGATCCAGTTTAAGAGAGCTAGTTCTGCCCTAGGACTAAATACTATACCTACATCAAGGAGGCTACGGGAAGCAGCAGTAGCGTTTCCAGATAAACAAATCCTTTATCGTACCTATGAATGGAATTCGATGGGAACATCATTGCTTGTGGTTGGAAACAGATTAAATTTTGTTAACAAAGCATCATAAGTTATTGAGGCAAATTTATGCTTTCGAAACATATTGACATATTTCTCTTCAAAATTTTAAAAGTAGCATCACTATAAACATTCATAAAGTACAAAACAAATTAAAAGCACCTTGATCATAACATTGTTATACGGACTAAGAAATATATTCTTCATGTCCACTCAGTATAGTGAATTGTACTAGTTTCACGAAGCATCTTTGCAGCTGTTTCTGGCAGTAAATCTCGTTGTGTTTCTGCTAATAGTTCGAAACCAGACATGAACTTTTTCACTGTAGATGATCTCAACAAGGGAGGTAAATACAAGGCATGCAACTGCCAATGTTTATATTTGTTTTTCAAATCTTCCAAGGATTCCTCTTCAGAGTGTAATATTGGTGCTTGATACCAACCCATAGAATACGGGAATCGCGTACGAAATAGATTATCATAACGAACAAGTAAATTCTTCATCACAGAGCTAAGGTCGCATTTCTCATCTTTCGTTAACTCATGTAACCAGAGAATATGGCGTTTACGCGGCAAAATCATTGTTTCAAATGGCCAACATGCCCACCACGGTATAATAACAAGCCAATAAGTTGAACAGATAATTATGCGCGAATCAGACGGACAATTAATCATATTCATTTCTTCCTGTATTGCATAATCCATAAGTAAAGGTATACCATTATGATGAAGGGCATAATTTTGTTGATTTTTATCAAGTCTTAACACTAGCGAAGGCATAAAACCACATACCCAAATCTGTAATGAGAATGGAAATAGCTTAGTAATAGAAAATAACTCAGGAGCAATAAATGGATGGAAATAATAGAAATCTTACTAAGATACATTTTGTGACACTAAATTAAATAGTTCCCTTTTGATCCCTGAATTATAAAACGATTGCGGTACGAAACCATTCCGCAGAAATGTAACAATCTCCAGTGAATCGTTACTTTTATCAACATTTGTGACTTCGTCAGTCAACTAGATGAGATATAAAAGTGAATACGGCCTCTTAAGTACTAGGCATTTTTCTACCCATGAAAACGTTAGTAAATTGAGTTAACTCGCTATCCTCGCATGGGAACACTATACCAATATAAAGTTGAAGACCATAAGCCAGTTTCTATTTGTTTAATTTGAGAAGATTTATGACTAGAATCAAAAAGTGGAGATACTGATTACTATTTTGAAGATATAGAGTCTAATTTAAACATTGCGAAGCTTTTAATTGTTCCAAGTTTTTTTGTATTTTTAGATGTCGGTTAAGCCATCACTATCAACAGATAGATGAATGCTATTTTATTAATTACAGTGATTTTGAAGATATTACTTACAATTGAACTGAGCAAGAATATGAGAAACAATAAATGCAATGCACTATGATAGACTCAGTTAGTTAGTCAGTTACAACGTAGAAATTTGTACGTACGTATATCAGTTCAGGTTGCTATACCGCGTTAGCACTGAGACGCTATTGTCAGTTCAAATCCCATAGCGGTGGAGATAGTAGAAGAATTACTGGTAATGGAGAATATTAGGGATCGAAGATATTGTTCGAGAAGTATAGTTCAGTGAGATAACTTTAGGTAAAGAAAGATAGAGATGATGAGGAATTCTGAAGATTTGAATTTGAGAGAACACAAAGATTGGATGCACCTGCGCCATGATAGACTGGATCAATGGAGATGATGATAAGGGGCAAAAGAAAAAGATTAACTGGGGTACCCTTAGAAGTTGCATACCGACAAAAACAAACACTTACCAGCATGAGTCAAATACTGTTTTCAGATCAAGAAGTATCTGCTTACGTACTGATTAAGGTAAGCTTTTGGAGACTTCTTAACATGTTTTACCCTGAGGCGACGGTAAAACAAAAACTAAAAATTAGGACTTTAGAAACAACTAGATAGACCAGTACTTATACAAGTATGCTCATTCAATGACAATACTTCTATGCGAGGATACTTGGTGCATTTGATTTGATAACATGCAAACGTTTATGGAACTTTCGCCTAACTGAAAACTGGATTACACAAACTGCAGCTTCGACGTGCTTCTCATACCTTAAATTAAACTTCATAAAGTAACTATGTCTTATGTTTCTCAAATTTATTTGCAGTACTTTTTCTGTTATATCGAGTTTAAGGTCAGCTATACTCGTTCGAATTTCAGTGTTATAAAACCAATTTTCTAATCGTATCTAATGAATATTGGGCAGCTAGACCTTTATTATATTTTAACAAAAAAACCCTATTCCATTTTACTTTTGATGAAACTGGATCTACTTTTCGCTCATAGAAGCTTCGTTAGATGACATAAATTTTCAAGAAATAAAAACATTCATCACACTAAATTGATTTACATATGACAATAGAGGTAATAATTAGTAATATTAACCGAGGCTCAAGTTTTATACTTGCTCTAATTTCTAAAATGATGCATCAAAGTGAATGGAAGTATTGTAAGTAAGCACAATGACAACAACTAAAAGACTAAGTCAGGTCGGAACTAAGTAGTTAAAAAGACAACTAAAACATGCAAGAACTTCCTGATCGAGTCACTAGCTCAAGTTTTATCTAAACTACTGAGCTTTCGGTAATCACATAGTATCTCCTGGTGTCACTCAATATGTAGGGATTACAGGCAAATAAACAAACTTGTACTTGATTACTGAACTGTCACGTTTTACACACGGATCGACTGGATGGTAATATATGATCAATAGAAACAGTATTAAAACATACACTAAGTACGAGCAACATATTTTCATAGTAAAGCGCCTACATTTCTAAATTACGTATTGAAATTTCGATGTCTTCTAGACTATGTAATACACAAGTAAACTAATTTAAGATCTTAACGAAGCAAAATACCACAAGTCTACTACAGTGATTGTTATTGACAAAACAAGAAAAATACCTATGCTGCAGACTTGTTAACAAAGGTGAACTAAAAGAATGTTGATTAAAATGGTACAACAGATTACAGAAACTAAGTATTCTCGGAAGAAATTGAAAAAAACAGCAAAATATAGTATTGTTTGGGTTTTTGAGTATGTTTTTAGCTGGCAATAAAGCTTAAATATTTAGCAAAATGGAAGAAAAGTAAGCATTTAGTTCCTAGATAAAAACAAAAGTCTACAGGTTATGGTCATGGGAAAATGTGCTTCGGGACAGAATTGTGAATTCGGACATCATTAGGTTGTATACATCAGTCATCTTTGATCGTTTTATCAAAAAATAAGTCAAAAAATGTGATGAGATGTAGTTTGATGTCATTACTTTAGTTTACTTGTCAAAGACCAGTCTCGAATGTACACATTTAGTTATTCAGACTGTTTGAACAAGCTAGTATTGTGAGGAAGATTTCTGTGGGGTTTAAACATAAGATTTGCTGTATAAGAAATGATATAATCAGTTTCAATTAAACGTCAGAGGCAAGAGAAAAACACAATATAACAGAGAAAGATGAACAGTTTAAATGTGTTATCATTCACCTGACAATGCGGATGAGTGTTAGACGAACCAACAGCTGCACCTCGATTCTCAAAAATTTGCAGCCATTGAAATTTTTTCATCGTCAAATATTTCTCAGTTATACGGCACCATTCATTAATGACAGATAATATTTCATGCGGTCCCATTAGCGCTAAAGTTTTATTAGGATCTGGATGGAAGCACATAACTAAACAATCACCTTGAGCAGGTGCACATGCAAATAGTGGGTTCTCATCAACAGATGTGAAGTTACCACTTTCATAACCGCGACTTTCATCAACCTAAACAAGATTAAGTCACAATCAACGGAGAACGGCAATATGATTGGTTAAAAGACAATTTAATTTAACGCAACTGAGTAGCTAACAGAGATGTCATATAGTAGGTTTTAACCTACGCTGATTTTGTGAAGTTTTGAGAGACTATTCGTTCATCGAACCTAAATGACTGGAGAGATTTTCCAGCCCGTGATTCACTGACCGTTAATTAATTGCTACAGTTTCTTAGCACAGATAAGTAGTACAGCAATGACTTATCAGTAGAGAAATGATCTGGTTATTCATTAAGCATAACAATCAGATCTTGACTGACTGGAGTGAGCGACCTACAAACTGATTTCTTCCAATGGTTTATGATAAGCTATCATACTTCTTTGTGTCAATATTTTGTGTATAAGCATGCCACTTAATGACACGAAAAGCTATTATTTTGGCTAACGGTTCTATTTTCGATCTAAAATTATTTCGAAACTTGCCTTAATAAATTATTCTCGTAAGCCACCGTCACACAGATATATTATACCATTGCACACCATCGATAAATCAGCGTCCTAGACACTGGCCAAATTTTACAATCAATGTGCTTAGAAATATTGGATTATCGCATTATTGGTGTTTTGACTAATATCTGATCAGTCTAGGTCGGCTTAAGTGTACCTTGTGTGGATCTTGTCATATACCCATTATGAAACAAATTTATGTGAAAGATATGGAATGTAACTAGTACCGGGTCTAAGCTTAACTCTGGTATGCAGGTATATTCTGCTTGAGAGTCATAATAAGACGTATCCTGGATTCTATTGCTGCCATTACCCATCTACATTAATGCAGTCCGCAGAGGATGCATATATGCTAAGACAAAATATTAACTACATTCTGCACTATTTGGTTTCTGTTAAAAAACTCTATCTCGGTTCACTTTGTTTTCAAGGCTGAAATTTTATTCATAGCACCTCCTATATGCATCACCTTACTTACTTTCGTGAAGGTTTCTCTTTGTTAGTACTATTACTGTCATCAACGTTACGTCCGTTCGGTTCAGCAGTCAAACAATTTAAACCGATATACTTTCATATAAATTTGATGAACCCGTTAACTCATGTTAACTTGGTCATTTATCATTCGTGAAATCAATGAAACTTTTTCGTAGAAAGCACTAGTGTTTGTAGGATCAGCACCAAAACTATTTTTCTGTATAGGGAGAAATATACTTAATGATTAAACTTCTGTTAAAATCTCTAAGCTACCTGGAATAAATAATTCGATTAATCTCCGATCGAGATGAAATACTTACCAAAGCAGGAAAGTCATTATGAAACGTGTACACAGATTGATAATTCGGTGTAATTACACCACTTGCACGAACGGAGCCGGGTGATAATGGGTTTTCGGTACATTTGACAGAAATATCAATTACATCCTCGGGCTTCTGGCAGTTAGATTCCGTTTGTCCCTCCCACGGACGTTGAATTCTATGTGGAGAAACAATAAGCCATTCATCCAATAGTGGGTTGTAACGTCTGTGGCCAAATGTCAATGGATCAGTCATCTAAAATCGAGTGAAAAATAAACCAACAAGTCCAACCTTGGTACGGATACCTAGAACCAATAAAGGCTAGTTTCACAACTCAAAGCTATAGAGATGCAGAAAAATGGAAAGGAGGAATATAATTCTATTTTGATTTGTACACATGTTACGTAACAAACTATTTTCGATTGTTTAGGGGAAATAAATCAAATCCTTTGAGCGATTCTTTACTTTCGAGCTCATGTAACCAATTAACATCTTCCTTTAACTGATGCTTTAACTTTCGGATCTCAGAATCATAAACTTTAATATCCTCCTCAATCGCTTTCTTCAATCCGACAGATGGGAATAGAAAAAACTGGTCAGATAGGCACGCCCACTGTTTATTCTCTGAATCCAATTGCATTAGCTTGCGCACAGCTTCACGTGATTTTTGTCGATTCCTGTCGTAAACTATACATTCTTGTTGTTTAGCCAATATCATTTCACCAGCTTCTTCTATTTCTTCTAAGTGCTTGATCACCTTATTTTGAACCGAAAGATCCATTTCCATCATAACTGCAATGTAATAAAGCAGCATCAACCGATAAGGAAAAAAAACTAAGGTCTTATGCTTAATAATAATGGACATTGGTAGAATTAATTATTTAAGGCATGAAATCATGCACTAAACTTATCTAATCGCACAAAAACCGAATTCAAATGTGATAATAGTTTTAGTAAATCAACTGCAATGGCAACGTGTGATCTCTATGTATTGAACTGAAGAAATCTACGATCACTAGGACTAACGATTTTATGCTGATTTTGGAAATGAATATAAATTAGATATTCGTAAACCATACTGATACAGATTTTAATAAAACATATACATTTGATAAACTGATTTATGAATGATATGACTTTGATGACACACTTAATGCCTGGACAATACTTCAACATTTTATCAGGTTCCCACCAAGCCTTTAGATAAACGATAGAGTCCAAGTAAAATTACACATCTTTGGAATCAGATAGATTCATTATTGTCATTAAAGTGATTTCTCAATCAAAGAACCTGGCTAATGTGAATCCCAGATAGCGTCATACATTAATTTTGTCATAAACAATTCAAAAACTGTTCTCGAATCGTCATCCATCAATATTAGAACTACTATTTTATGTCTGCTAACCATTTTAGTAAGAAAGTTTACAAACTGGCAAACCCTTTTGGATCATCTTTTCGGTTCTTATAGTGTTGAAACAGAATACTAGTTTGTTTATTTGCCATTAATTTGGTTCCATAAGTTTCCCATTTATCTATAAGATGGTCAGAAAACACATTGTTCTTTGATAGAATATAAATCAATGGTGAATAACCTATGTTTAAATATATCAGCTCACCTTTAAAGTATCAGAAGACAGGAACTAATAATAACTGGACTAACTCCATACAATACTCTTAAGCAGGGATTTATGCAAGCGACTTTGCCATTGATACAGAAGACTACAGACTAGTCGTTAGTCGGCGTCCATTTAGGAAACAATATGCAGCCAAATATAAATTGACTTATAACTGATTCGTCGAGAAACTGGGGGATCTGCAGTTTTATTAATCACAATTCGGAAGCTAGCCACGGGGTATTCATAAGATACTACTATTAGTTCGAAAAGGCTTAGACAAGCGCGGGCTTGCAGACAGCATAGAAGAAAGTCACCACAGTAGTAGTAAACATAACTAGAGCTCTGAAGCAAGGCATCGACATGCTAAATGAATTACAACCGTCATAGTGTACAGATGACAACGACGATTTCCGGGGAGTAGGTAATGTAATTGACCTTATCAATTCGAACAGCTCCGATCGAAAGAAGATAAGGTAATCGTAAAACCATTAAAAGTAACTCTTCAACTTAAGCATCAATACTTCATTTGCATGACTATGGTTCAAATTGCCATGGAACTTTCAAAGATGTGTCACCCTGTATTAAAAAGCTTATACGAACATAGTTGTAAGTACTATGGTACCAAGATCCTTTAGTCACAAACATTTCGGTCAACAAATGCTCTCTAAATTTTTCAGAAAACATATGCGAAAGTTGGCACTTAAATAGTTGACGGATTGAGAACAGCCTTGCATATTCATCTCAGTGTACAAAATGACACATACTTATTTCAGTTATACGCTATCAGCCACATCTCATGAGTCAAAAATTTTCAGCTTACTAAATGATAATCTATCAACATGAAAAATAAAACTTAGAAAACATGTGATCCGGAAGCCATTTTAGAAAATCACCTACTGAGATCACTTAATTACAAGGTCAAAACTCATCTGGCCGCGATTCAATATCCAATACCTTTTTGACGAGTTGGCATAAACCAATTTATGTCTTTGCGCTCAATTCTGGTTCTTTCACGACGGTTCTAGGTGTTTGATAGTGTCTAATAATGTGAGTCTAGCCACTCAGGTGTCTGTGACAAATTAGATTTTAAAGTGATAGTAAATTTCAGTCTTAAATTCCTTTTAAAAATAACAGAAGGCTAGGTAAACCTGTAATCCTTCATACCTTATTTGATCCAAATTTATTTTAAATGCATCGAAGTGGTAACGAGGTAACGAGATCTGGTCCTTGGCGACTCAATACGAAAGACGATAGCCAGCTGAAAAGTGATGAATTTGTATGGTTAGGTCGAATACCAAACCTGAGATAAATTAGATGCAATGTGGACAACAATAAGGGGGAAATTCTTATGCTTATAAGAAGGAAATTTCAGGAAGCAATAAGCAGATGTATAGTAAGTTAATCAATTTTCAGTGAAAATTTTGCGAGAGGACAGAAGTGCAAGCGATGGTAAGTCAACGCAGGTAATGAGAGAAATAAACTTAGTTACTGACCTGGGGAAAATAATAACAACTGGCAAGTTTTGAGAAATATATCATGCACAGCTGGTCCAAAAAGGAGATGGTAATAGGTATGCTATTATGTGTTTATCGAGTACTTTCTCGAAGCTATTCACTGATGGGACTGCGGCCACCTCGCAAAGGAGAACATTCCACGTTGCGACAATCGCTAAAAGAAAATTTGTGAATAGACTTTGGTGTTTGCTCATCAGTTTGCGATTTTTCGAAGTTAACATATAGGGATTTTGTGATGCTTCGACTAGATGCTAAAGTGATTCGATGTACTCGATGTGTTGTTTTCGTTTATTATCCACCCTCAGATAATCCTGTTACTCACAGGAGCAATCTCAAGTGCTGGAGTCTACCTTCCTAAAGTTGGTGCGATGACGTTGGCATGTGTCCTGAAGCGAGTCAAGAAGAAATGTGCGATGATCAGATCAAAATGTCTATTCATATATTTTCGTAAGCCATGGCTGCATCCACCATAGAGTAAGAACTACTTTTTACTCTTTATTTGGTCATTAAATAGAGATAACGCCCAGGAGCGACATTTGTAAGCGGACCACTGTTGACGATGTAGATTGTTTGCCTTATATTTAACAACAGAAACACAACGCGAAATTTCGACTGTTTAGGCTTCAACCCATTATCTGAAGTAATATTATTTAAAGCTCACGTTAAATATCTACATGCGTGAAATTTATCCTGCTGTCTGTGAGTGTTGAAATCTAATCTATTAGTGTTTGGAAAAACTACCAGTGCAGTTCTTTCACTATTGCCTCGGTCAATTTATTATGCTCAGCTATAGTAGCCTATATTGAATAGTACATCCCTTCATTCAAGTATTCTGTGCCATTTTTGTTGAGGCAGCACTAACATGACTCCGTTAGTAGGTATCGAAACTCCGCCTATTGTATTACGTACTATCTCGTATCGGAAGAGTGTCCTCCTTTCCATGCTCACTTCGTCTGTAGTTTCAGTTAGGATTATGGTCTATGGATCAGTATGATACTGGTCTCTTCCAGCTAAACCCTCGAACCTCTTACGTCGATTTCGAGGCACTTGATGTTTTGTATAGTTACCTGGTGTGCCTCCGCTCTACCATTCATCCTCGGATCTTGAAACAAGTAGACCATTTATATGACAACTGGCCGCCCAAGGGTTTTTGCATGTGTAGAGTACTTTGTCGACGATACCATGATATTCGCTGCTGGTGCTGTGAGTTGTCGATCTAGAACGATTGACACTAATATACGCTCATTGCGGCCTTTCTAACGTTGACTCAAATGTTTAGACCAACTGTCCTAACGTCTAATATGACCAGATAAATAATTCTCCTTGCTGTACCAAGCCTGAAATACCTGTTAGTTTTTACCGGTTTCCAAAGTTCACAGTGATCAGACGGGATTAACTGGTTGTGAGGTGTGAAGGATGAGACAGCTGGGAAACCGTTATCACCATGGCAGTGTGAAGCTCACGAGCACGATGTGCAACAGTGGCAATGGCTATCGCGTAGCCTATCCCTCCACACCCCGATGGCAGTCTGCATTTCTAGGTTGCCCGCTCGTCACACCTTACGTCTATGAAGTCAGCACGCCTGATTTCTGTGACATTTAGGGACCGGGAAGACCTGACTGAAACACTACAAGCTTGGTACAGTTCGAGGAACGATCTACCTAGCCACATCAGATGTTGTGAGAGCCGACCTAGATCTGTGAAACAACAGCAGGGGGGCCAAAATGAACGCACAAAACTGATAGTTAAACTCGGTCAACTACCTCTGGCACAAGATATGAGTGAACCAGCAGAGGCCAGTTCCCACAGAACTGGCCGATTCGGTTTAAATAACTTGTCTGAAAATCCGACAAAGGCTGCTGCTGCAAATGTGCACCAGGTGCTGAGACAAACCACCAAGTGCCTCTATAGCAACGTAAGAGGACTATGGGGTAAGCTGTTAGAAATCAGGAATACGTGCTCCCAGATGGATCTGAAGATCATAATCCTAACCGAAACATGGCTATCCCCTGATATTGCAGACGCAGAAGAGAGCTTACCAGGCATGACACTCTTCCGAAGCGATAGGGAACACCAAACTGGAGGTGCAGTGGCGATATATATATGTAGCAACTTAAAAGCAGAGCGACTATACGACACCCAACTAACTGAGGTGACAGAATCATGTTGGTGTGGTTTCCACTCCAATGGCACGAAATACTTGATTGGAGGGATCTACCGGAACAGAAAAGCAAACTGATTGAGGTAATACTGCAACTGCCACTCCTAGGGTTTGATCGAATACTCAGTTGCAGATTTCAATACCCCATCTTTAAATCTCAGCAATCAGAGTATAACTCCCACAGGATGGTTCCGAAGACAACTTGATACAGCCATTAGAAGCTCTGGGCTGACTGAGCACGTATGCAGTGCCACTAGGTGGACTAAGGAACGGAAGTCCTGAAACGTAGATTATCTGTTAACTAATGACCAGCTCCTGGTTGAGGATGTTCACGTCCGCGCAACAGTAGATAGTAGTAATCATGAAACAGTCTTGTCTAACATGGTCATAAACGAAACACACACACGGGATGATAACGAGCCTTACCTTTGCTACAATAGGCAAACTACATACACATGAGATAGGTCCTACTACATGCCCCATGGCCACGGGAGTGCTGGAGGCTGACAGTAGATGATCTCTGGCGAGCAGCAAGAGATATCATCCGAAACGCTGTCGTAGACAACGTACCTCAGTCAAACCAAAAACGCCAGAACAGAAGAACCTGGGTTAGGCGCGGCACAGAACGCTTGTGGCAGGCGAAGAGGAGAGCCTGGCTCAAGGGTTAGGTCTCCATCAAGGATTCCAGTCGCAGTTCTTATTTGGCATTGAGAAACAGATGCAACACCAAAGTTCGAAGCGAAAGGAGACGATTTCAGATGAAGCAAGCCGGCAAAATAGAGGCAAACCCGAAACATCTGTTTAGTTTCATGTCCAAAAGAAAACCTACTAATCAAGGGTTGTGTTCTCTAGAAGGAACAAACGGGGAAGACCTCACCAACCTAGAGATGGCTGAGATCTTCAACACCCATTTTTCTGATCAATTAAACCAGCTGCCTACATGTTCAGAGTATTACGCCAACCCAATGCCAGATGACTGCTTACGGAACATCCGTATCACTCCTGACTTAGTACTAAGGAAACGAAAATCCTTACGCCCAGGTAAGTCACCAGATTGTGACAAATTCCTCCCTATAGTCTTGCAACAATGTGCTGAAGTCCTCTGTTCACTGTTATGCGATTTACGATATAGTTTTCCGACTTTACTGAGGAACTGTAATTTTCGATTAATACAATTCTGTTGCCCTCACCTGTGTTCTCCTTCACTACATTTGGTGTCGCTGCCTACACAAAGGATGAAGATTCCATGGCCGAAGGAGTTTGAGGACGGAGATGTGCGGAGCTTCCTGAAGGAATCTGAGGCCGTGGCGGAGCTGGTGGGGGTGAAGGAGCCGAGGGCGAAGTTGGTGGTGCTGGGGACGCTGCTGAGAGGTAGGACGAAGGCTGTATATGACAGCTTGGACGGTGCTGGCGGGAAGACGCCATGGGAGACGGTCACTGGGCAGCTGATGGCAGAGTTCGACAGCCCGGTGTACAGGGAGGAAGCGTGGCAGAAGTTCCGTTTGAGGAGACTGTCAGCTGATGGTGACCCGTTGGTGCTTGCTGTGGAGCTTACTAGGTTGCTGCACCGTGCGTTGCCGAATATCGATGAGGAGTCGGAGGCACAGTTGTTGACGTCGCAATTTATTGAGTGTGCCTGCCGCCATGTCCCAGCAGCTGAGACTAGTAAATGCAGCACAACCTATGGACATCGGTGAACTGGCGAAGGTGACTCGTCAGCTGATGACACGAACAGTAGCTCCGGTCGGGTGCGAAAACCAGGAGATAAATACATTCGGGGAAGAAGATTGAGGGGTTAGAGTGTGAGATAGCAGCGTCACCAGTAAATCATAAAAGGAACGATAATGTTACACTTGTGGAGGGACAGGACATTTGTAGATAAACTATCAAACAATCAAACCATGTACATTAGCGGTCCAAACCATAGGAGGTCACATGACAGAGGTGTTGGGGGTATCTGACAGTATCGTAAAAATGAGTGGAGCCGAGATAAATTTTTCGTTCGTGGTAACCACAAGCTTATCGAGACCGATATTAGGAGCAGATTTCCTAAGACAGGTATAAGCGATAATTGACTTGAGAAGCGGTAAAATGGTCACAAAGTATGGTTCATTGCCAATGCACGAAAGTAGCGAAGTGGCTGAAATAAGGATGGCAACGGACGTCTCGACCAAGAAACCAAACATTAACGAGTTAGGCGCAAAGTATGCGAAACTGTTCACTGGAGATGGGGAGCCGTATGGATTTTGTGACAAAGTAAAGCATGAAATCCCTATAAA